GCGAAGACGAGGGAGGGGCCCTCGGCGTGTCGGCAGGAGCGGCCCTCCACCAGGTGCCCTCGCCTCGGGGCCCGAGGGGATCTCGAAGCGGGCCCGGAAAGCACCCGCAGAACCAGAGCAGGGGCCAACGGCAAAGAAGCAGGGGCAGAGGGAACGGGAGAGTGCAGAACTCTCAGAGCACTCCCTGTCTGTGGAGAGTGCAGGCAGCGGCGAGGCAGCCGCCGGCGAAAACGGGGGGGGGGGCAGGCACCGGTGTGCATCGGGCGCGGCGGCCGCTTCGAGGTTCCGACAACAATGCCCGGAGGGCTTGCCAGAACGCTCTGGAGCGACCCGTCGTCGTCCCGGCCCTGCCCCATCAGCAGGGCCCCCCTCCCCCGGCGGCGAAAGCGACGGATGGCGAGAAGCATCGGCACTGGTGCGCCGTCCGTCTCCTTGTGGATGCCATGACAATGGGCACCCTAACAAGCCTATTTCATTGAATCAAAATGAGCTTAACATGTATGCAGAACCGTAACATGTGTTACCCAATGTTTAAGACATGTATTAAACATTTGGTAGACATCTAGAAACTATTTGGCAGCATGCTTCCTCTCCACTTGGTCGTCCTCCACAACCACTTCCCCACCGCGGCGGCCTGCGTGGAGAGCCCTGCGCACTGCCGCAGCGCCGCGTCGCCCCGCGCCCTGCGCTCGCGCCCCTGCTGGTGCACGGCCTCCAGCTCCGCCGTCGCCCGCTGCAGGGCAGCCTCCAGCTCCGCCCTGGCGGCCTCCGCCCCCTGCGCCGCCGCCTCCGCCGCGCGGCGCCGCTCCTGCAGGCCGGCGGCGTCCGCCTCCGCCCCGGGGGCCCCGGGCGGGCCGTCCTCCTCGCACGCGACGAGGCCCGCGAGCTCCCGCAGGGACTCGCGGGCGACCGCGCCGTCGGTCCAGTCCAGCACGCGGAGGAGCAGCTCGGACACGGCGGCCCGCTCCTGGGGCTCCACCCCGGCGGCGCCCAGCAGGTGCCCCACCCTCTGGGCGTACACCTTCGGGGAGACGTATAAGACTCGGGCTCGGGGGGCCCAGGCTGCCTGGCGGGGCCCTCATGAACTTGACGACGCCCGCTCTGAAATCTGACGCGAACTCCCGCTGCAGACACCCCACGAAAACTGGACCGTCAAAATCCAGGGCGCGCTTGTCAGGCAGCGCCGGCAAACCCAAGCTCCTGTGCAGTTGCCCGAGTCTTACATTTTCCCAACACCTGCCCGGCGCCCGCCTCGGCGTCGCGCATGCACCTGAGCTGGAGCTGGACCTCGCTGATGTGGCAGCGCTGCGCCTCGCCCTGCTCCGCCTCCACGTGCTGCCGCACCCCAATGCCGACGTAGCGCAGCCCGAGGCAAGACGGGTCCCGGAACATGTTGTCCACCTGCACGACCTCCAGCCCCTGCAGGAAGCCCCTCAGCGCGGCGAGGAGGCACTCCACCGTGTCGAAGAAGATCAGCAGCCGCGAGACCCCAGGGAGGCTCTCCAGCGGCTGCCTGGACGCCATCTCCGCCACCTCTGCCCTGCTCCGGATGCCCGGGTCGAGGTGCTCTCCGCAAGGGGCCAGATGCGATTGCCCAGAGCGCCACAGCCTACGGGTGTCTCCTGGAGGCACTGCAGAGGTGTCGTCGAGCTGTTCCTGTGCCCATGCCGTGTCGGGTGCCAGGCTCGTCTTCAGCTGCCACTGCGCCGCGGCGGCATCGAGCAGCAGGCTGTCGAGATCGCTGGCCTCCTGCGCGGCGGCGTCCCTGTAAAGCGCGCCTCGCTGGCCCTCGCTGATGGGCAGCAGCTGGCCTTCAAAGCGGCACATGGAAGGCACCGCAAGCAGCTGGGCACACTCTTGCGGCTCTTCGGACTGGGCAGCGTTCCACCTGGCACTGTACATCTCGTAGCACGAGTCGAGCACTGGCACGAGTTGCTGCAGCGTGTCGATGGAGAGATCGCACTGCCCGTAGATCGATGACACCTCCCTCCTCGCCAGCTCAAGCGGCCACTCGACGCCTACATATGGCTCCGCGTCCCTGTCGGCGCCCGCCCGCAACAGCGCGCAACGCACTCCCAGCATGTCTGCCGGGTCCCGCACGGCGGCGGCCACTGCGGCGGCCGCGGCTCGCACCGAGGCGTCGCCGCGCAACTGCATGTCGCACACCAGCTCGCCGTCGACCTCCCGCACAGTCACGTCCTGCACCTGCACGTCCGGGCTCGCCTTGAGTGGCTGCACGCCCAGCATGACGTGGAGGTCGTCCACAGTAGGCCGCAAGGTCGCGCTCGAGATGGCCTCTGCGAGGGCTGCCCGCGCCTGCTCGGCTGCGGCCGCAGCCCTGTCCTCGGCGGCCCCTGCCTCTGCCAGCGCCGCCGCATTCGGCGCGGCGGCGCCTTCCTGAGAGTCTGGCGGCGCTGCACTGAGGAGGTCGTCCTCGTGGAACGTCCTCGGCGGCCCGCCCGCCGCCTCCTCGTCCGCAGCGGGCGCAGCCTCGCTGGCGGCGTGCCCCGCGCCCAGCTCGGTGCGTGCCGACGGCGGCTGCTCCAGCGGTGGCGGGCGCTGCCGCGCTGCCGCGTGGCCGCCCTGTGCGCTTCCCGGCGCGGCATCTGCAGCGGCAGCATCGGCTGCGCCCGACGACACGGCCCCGAGCTCCGCAGCCGCCCGCACCGCGTCCTGGGCGGCGCCCTGCCCAGCGAGGGATGCCGGCGGCGTGGCCGAGAGCCCGCCCTCAGCCGCTGCCGGAGAGGCAGCGCTCGCCAGGTCTGCCGCCGCGGGGGTCGCTGCCGCAGCCGCTGCCGCGGTCGCGGCGCCAGGCTGCGTCGCCGCGGCCTCCGGCCCCACATCTGCAGCGGCCGCTTGCGAGGCGTGCTGCGCTGACACTGCTGGCGCCTCGGCCGCGTCATCCGCGGCAACGGCGAGTCCAACTCCGGCTTCCCCGTCTCGAACCTGCTCTTGGCGGTGGAAGGTGAGCTCCAAAGGCCGGGCCTTAATGGCTGCCATGAGCTCCTTGCGCAGCATTCCGTCGGGTGACTCGTGATTGATGAGGGCCAAACGGTCACCCTCCTGCACGCCCAGCCCTGCAGCCCAGCCGCCTGGCGTCACCCTCACCATCACTTGCCCTACAGGCCCCTTCTCGGGCAGGTATGGGAAGGCCCAGCCCAGATTCTTCAGGCCGGCCTCTGCCGTGCCAGTAATCACGCGAAGCTGCACCACCTCCGAAGCCTCGGGCGGGCCCTGCCCCTCCCCTTCCGTCTGCACTGCCCGCTGCAGCTCCTCGGGCTGCAGGGTCGCCTCTCCGGGCGTGGCGAGCTCCGCGGCGGCGGCCTCCGCCGCCTCCTCGACCACCTGCGCCTCCACCTCGGGCCGCGCGACCGCCTCCTCGACGACCTGCGCCTCCGCCTCGGGCCGCGCGAGGGCCACCCGCAGGCGCACGCGCGCCCTCGGCAGCCCGCGGCGCCGCTCCCAGCGGGCGTGCGCGAGCCGAAGGCACGGCGCCCCCGGCAGCACGGGCCCGGGGTCGTCCGAGGACGCCCCGTCGCTCTCCGCGGGCGGCTCGAGGGGCTCCTCGCCGAGCAGCACGGCTCGGCGCGGGCCCGCCTCTCTGCCGCAGGAGGAAGCCCAGGGCAGCGGGCCCTGAGCCCCGGGGGCTCTGCCCAAGACCCGCGCTTCGTCCCGAGGCGTTCCCCGGAGGTCCCGGGGCCCGTGGAGAGCGCCACGCGCCCGAGAGCGGAGAACAGATCCCAGGCTCCAGGGCCCCTTTCCCTCGGGTGGTCAGCAATAAAAAGGACCCCTAACTCGTTGGGAGGGGACCTCACTCAGGAACTGTTAATCTGTTAATCTGCGGATGTATGGAACAAGACCGCCAAGATTTCTGGTCCCTACTGCAAAGACGGGGACCTGAGTGAGGCCACGTCTTCACTACAGTCGGCCCGTATCAGAAGGATGCGCGATAAGGATGCAAGGGCCTTGGACGCCCATGTCGAAGCTTCTCGAGCAGGGCGCGGCCGACGAAAGTGACCAAGGATGGACCGAGGAGGCAAGGATGCAAGGGTATCATTGGGAAGGTTGCCCATCCTGACTATGCGGGTTGGCTGCATGCTATCAGGGTTAGGGGTCCTTCTTGTCCTCGATGATCAGGGCCCCTTCCCTCTGTGGCTCCGCCTCGGCTGCGGCCGCCGCGCCCAGGACCGCTCCGCCACCGCCGCCGCCGGCCCCTGCTGCAGCGCGCGCCTCTGCAGCAGGCGCGCCGCTGGCCCGCGGCGCCTGCACCCGGACCTCCGCGGCCCCGCCCGCCTCCGCCCGGGCCGGCGCCGCCTCCGCGGCCCGGGCCCGGGCCGGCCGCATCCACTGGAACAGCCGCGCGAAGCGCTGCAGGCGCCCCGGCGCGCGCTGGGCCGCCCGCGCGCCGGCGGCGGCCGCCCCCTCGCCGGAGGCGGCGGCGGCCGCGGGCTCCGGCCGCGCGGGGGCGGGGCGCTCGCCCGCCGGCGCCGCGGCGCCAGCGCCGCCCGCCCTGCCCGCGCCCGCGGGGGCGCCGGCGTCCGCGGCAGCCGCGGCGGGGCGGCCGGGCGGCGGCGGCGGGTGCCGCCGGCGCGTGGGCGCCGGCACCTGGCTCTCCACAGGCCGCGCCGCCGGCAGGGGGGGCGCCGCCCGGAGCGGCGGCGGCACCCGGGCCTTCGGAGGCCGCGCCGCCGGCAGGGAGGGCGCCGCCCGGAGCGGCGGCGGCACCACCTCGGCAGCGCCGCCGGCAGCGGCGGCAGGCGCCCCCGCGCGAGAGCCCGCGCTGGGGCCTTCGACGCCCGCGCCGCCCGCAGGGGAGGCGCCGCCCGGCGCGGCGGCGGCGGCCGTGGCCGCCTCGGCAGCAGCGCCGCCGTCGGGCCCTGGCGCGGCGGGCTCAGCCGCCGGGGCAGCTGCCGCAGCCGCGGCCTCGTCCGGTGGGGCGGGGCCGGCTCCAGACCCATCACCCATCACCGCTCATCCAAAGCTCTGGATCTCAGCCCCCG